AAGGGTGTAGGCTCTGGGATCTTTGACTCCAAGGCCCATACTTGGACTCATGGGGTTACACTGCCCCCACTAGGCAGCTACGATTTCTGTATTCACAAACAGACCTCTTTTTTTTTTTTAATAAGATTTTTAACATAGGGACAGGAAAGAGACACAGAGAAAAGAAATGGGAAATCATCCCCTGGGAGGATGGCCACAATACAATCCCTTTTCCTCCACTCTCCTCTCGAGATTTTGGGCAAGCACACACGTGCCCAGCATGTTTTTCAAGCGGCTGGGTCCAGGATTTAAACCACGGAATTGCCCATGTGGGATCCAGTGCCTTTACTACCATGTCACCTGCTGGCCCCACAGACTTTAAAGGCCCACATGCATGAGACAGCTCCCAGTGTGCAAGAAAGAGAATACAAATTACAAGATGCTTAACCTCACTCGTAACAGAACTGCAAACAAAATGACACAGAGGGACCCCTCAACATCTCTCAGATTAGCAAAAACAAAGTAGGAGGCTTATAAGGAGGTAGAAAGAGACAGGCCGGGGCTGGGGGCTGGATGGTGGTGCAGCAGTGAAACATTATGCACTACTAGGATGACCCACGTGGCAAGGCGCTTGTCTTCAGACCCACCTAGTATGCAGAGCACACAAGTGATCCAGGGCTGGCTGAGGCTGGGGCTGGACTGCAATGCACCCTGTTGGGGGTGCTCTCTCTTTCTCTTGCTCATGAAAAAATAAATAAATAAATAAAATAGAAAAAGGACAGTCCCGCTGTCTGAGATGGGTATCATCTCTGCACTGAGGGAAACCTGGCAACGTCTTCTGAAACCTTGAGTGCACATGCCCTTTTTGCATGCATTCTTTCTTTTGTAAAAAATGATTACTTTATTTGACTGTTTATTTATTTATTTTAATTTGACTAGAGAGGGACAGAGTGAGAAAGAGAGAGAAAGTGAGAAAGCAAGCCACCAGGTCAGAGACTTGAACCACGGTTGGCCACGTGAGAGTCCAGCGCCCTTAACCACCACGCCACCTGCCGGTCCCATCCATGCATTCTGTTTCTAAGAATTTATCCTACACATATATTTGCAGGTATGGATTACACAGATTAGTCATAGTAATACTGTTTAGAAGAGCCATAGACACTTAAACATCCACCAGGAAAGGCCAGTTTAATAAAACATAAATTCATAAATTAATGGCATGAGCCTGTCTCGGTAGTCTAGTAGTTAAGGGAGCCTCATCTCACATGGCTGACCACAGTTTGAATCCTTACACTGGTAGCTTGAAAAACATACCGCGTGCACATGTGTGCAGGCCCAAAATCCCAATAAGACGGAGAAATGGAAGGGACTGCAGCATGAATACACCCCACTGAAGGGTGCTTTATTGCTCCCTTTCCTTCCCCCCTCTCTGACAAGCCCTCTGGCAATTAAAACAAAACAAAAACAAAAAAACAATGGCATGGCCTTCAGATATATATATATATATTTTTGAACAGGTTTTTGCTATAGGGCGCATGCGCTCACCAGACAGACAGAGAGAGACAGAGACGGAAAGTGAGAAATCACCCCCCAGGGGGGATGGCCATGCTGCAATCCCTTCTCCTCTGTTCTCCTCCGTTCTCCTCTTGGGATCTTGGGTACGCACGCACACATGCCTGGTCTGAGTTTTAAGCCACCGGGTCCAGGACGTGAACCACGGTCGACTACGTGGGAGTCCAGCGACATAGCCATTACGCTAACTACTGGTCCTGCCTTCAGATATATTTTTAAAGAAAAAGGCAAAGTGGGACCAACAGTTGGCAAAATGGCTATGTTGATGGACTCCCCTGTAGTCAACTGCGGTTTGAGTCCTGGACCCAGTGGCTTAACTCACGCCGGGCGTGTGTGCACTCATGCTCCAGATCCCGAGAGAATGGAGGAAAAGGGACTGCAGCGTGGCCGTCCCTCCTGGAGGGTGACTTCTCACTTTCTGTCTCTTTCTGTCTTTCTGGTGAGTGCATGTACCCTATAGCAAAAACCTCTCCAAAAAAAAAGGGCAAAGTACTCAATGCTTTGAATTTGTATACCTGTAGTGTTTAAAAGCAAATGAGAAGGGAAATACACACATGCAGTCCATCCTCAATATTTGTGGAGTCCATATCTGTGAATCTGCTTACTGGCTAAAATTTCTCAAACCCCCCAAAGCAATACTCATGACATTTATGTGGTCAACTGCAGACAGGGTGCAAACTTTAAGTGGCTTGACACGCATATTCCCAGGTGAGGTCAAGCAGGGTGACACTTTCTTATTTCAGCTCTCATACTGTACACAATCATCCTTTCTATGGTCTTGTTTTTCATAGTTTTGAGTCTTTTCTTGGTAATTTCCTTGTTTAAAAAGGCCCCTTGGGGACCAGTGGGTGGTGTGGTGGTTAAGGCGCTGGATACTCCTACATGGTCAACCACAATTTGAGTCTCGGATCTGGTGGCTTGCTTTCTTGCTCTTTCTCTCTCTTTCTCTGTCTCTCTCTGGTCAAATTTTTAAAAAAATGAATGAATAAATAAAACTAAATAAATAATTTTAAAAAGCCCTCCCACCAGCACCAAGCGTAGTGCCGAAGTGCTGCCCACTGCTCCGAAGCACAAGGGGGTGATACGCCTTCTGGAAAAAAAAAACTTGCGCCAGACAAGCTTAGCCCAGGCATGAGTGACCGTGCTATTGGCCATGAGCCCAATGTTAATGAATCAACAATATACACTAGGGTCAGTCCCACAGCCTTGTGGTTAAGGGAGCCAGATCCCACACGGGTGACTGCACAGTTCAAACTCCAGCCCTGGCAACTTGAAAACCATGCCAGGTGTATGTGCCCGAAATCTGTTTTTTTTTTAAATTATTTTATCTAACTTTATGTATGTATGTATTTATAAATTTGACCAGAGGGGGACAGAGTAAGAGTGAGAGAGGAAAGGAGGGAAAGTGAGAAAACAAGCTGCCAGGTCCAGTACTTGAACCACAGTCAGCCATGTGGGAGTCCAGCACCCTTAACCAGCATGGCACCTGCTGGCCCCTGCTCCAAATCTTGACAGGAGAAACAGAAAAGGGATTGTGGCATTGCCACTCTGGGGGATGCTTTCTCCCTCTCTCTCACACTCTGGTGAACGCACTCACCCTCTGGCAATTAAAAATAAAAAAAGGGGGGACCAGCCAGTGGTATGGTGGTTAAGGGCGCTAGACTCCCACATGGCTGATAGCAGTTCAAGTCCTAGACCTGGCAGCTTGCTTTCTCACTTCTCTCTCTCTGTCTCTGTTCCTCTCTGGTCAAATTAAAATAAAATAAATTAAATTAAATTAAATAATTCTCAAAAAAATTGTCTAAAATAAAAAGAAAAAACCCCCCAACAATACATATTAAGTAAGTATTAAATAAGATGTCCTAAAGCAGAAACACGTATAAAAAGGTTATACCTTGATCAAGTGACAAAAATGTGTCCAGACACTCCTAGGACCCTATTTCTCCTAGGAGCAATGGTTCGGTGTTAGTGGTGATGAAAGAACATAAATATCAGAACAGTGAGAATTGACTGGAATGTATGCATGTATGTTTCCATGTGCATATGTAAGTACGTAGGGATGTGTGTGCATGCGTATTCTGCAACAACCTCTGGGAGCATCCCCAGGAAACCAAAAACATTGGTGACCTCTGGGAGCAGAACTGGTGGCTGGTAAAGTGTGGGAAGGAAGACTTCACTATTTGTCCTCTTGTACCTTTTCAATTTTGAACCAAGTTAATGGATTGCTTATCCAAAGGTAAATATAAAATTAGGACAAAACCAGAACCTCGCCTGCCTATCTCTCATGCTGTCCCCCTGAGGTCTGCAGCGGGAGGAAAGTCAGCCACACCAAACACCCATGCCTCATCTGTCTGTCCACAGGTCAACATGGATCAGGAGGAAGAGGCAGGTCAGGCCACTCCAGATCAGAACTGGCAAGTCAGCGTGCATGCCCTGGTGGCTCACCTGGGTGCTCTCGTCATGGAAGCCCTCCAGGAAGCTCTCCAGCAACTCGTCTGCATTGTCAATCCGCTCGGCATATTCGCCTACGATCCAGATCATGGCAGCTCGGGCTTCGGGCTCATCCAGGGAGTCCAGGTTCTCACACAGAGTGGCGATCACACTCTCATACCTGGGAGACCAGCGTACAGGTGACATGTGAGCACGGAAGGAGCTGGGCAGCCCAGGGGAGACAGGCAGCTGCCCCTTAGGACCTCATGAGGAGGTATGCACGCAGATGGGACTTAAGTTTTATCTGTTATGTTTTAACTCTTATTTTTGCCTAGGGAACAGAGCAGAGGTAGTTCAGAAGAAATAAGAAAAACAAATGGTTTCTTTTGAGACTGATGCTTATGGCAGGGAAACAGGGAAGAGGGGAGAGGCCCTCCTTCCTTTTCCTCCCCGCCAGTCCCTTCCAATCCCATCCTCATGCAGGTGCAGACTGCCCTCTCACTGGGAGGGGTGGGCACGCACTTGTTGGGATACTTGCGGAAGATGTCCTTAATGACCACGATGGCTTCCTGGACCACATAGTTGACCTTGGTCTGGATGAGATCGAGCAGCGTGCTCACACAGCGCTCTGCAGATTGCTGTGAGGGAAGAGGAGGAGAGTGGGGTAGGGTCCCTGTACCCCATTTCCAGCGGATCCATGACTAAAGGCTCAAAGTCAGCTATTCCTTGGCCACCTGCCTCAACACATGAGAGAACAGAACACTCCCCAGAATAACAGAGAGAATGAGAGCCAAAGGATAGCCCTGGAAGACAGAACGAGACTGAGCAGAAGCCAGAGGCAGAGTTCTTGAGAACGGGGGGTGGGGTGGTGGTGGTGGTGGTGGTCCTTAGAGCTTCTCTGGGCCAAGCAAGTGTTGAGTGTGAGGCTTGGTTGTGACCCTGAGGCCTTCCTGACCACTTGCAGCTGCTAACCTCTGCTAGAGTCAGACTGGTTTCGGCTCCCTTCCCCTCCCCTGGCCAAGGACAGATCCCAGAACCTCACCTCCACCTTGATAGCACAGCGGCCAATCGCACGCACAGCCTTTCGGACGAAGTCCACATCCACTTCTGTCGCATACTCTTTCAGCTCTGCCAGCACCTGCAGCCCAGAGATAAGTTTCCGGGAGATCTGACACGGTGACTCTTGCAACACCATACACAGGCCCCTAGGATGGGAGTCTACCCCTTACTTGAGGTAAAAGGCCCAAAGGATAAAAAGCGCTGTCAGGTGCCCCAAGAGGAAAGCAGAGAAAAACTAGGGGCAAGTCTGTACCACCCTTGTTCTAGGTTATCTAGCTAACACATCCAACCACTACTTTTTAATGAATAGGTAATAATAACAGGGAGAACATGCATTAGTCACAAAAAAACAAAAAAACGCTTGCCTACAAAGCCCCAGTCCCCATGCTAGACACTCTCCGTGAGATGAACTGTTACAGTGGGGCTGTTCAGCCAGCCCAGAGACCACAGTCCATTGGTGGTGGAGGTGGCTAACGCTCAGGCCCACGCCCTGACCGCCACATTCTGCTGACCTGGGCGATGTTGGCCTGGGAGGCCAGGCGGATCATGATGTCCAGCTTTTCCAGTTTCACGTAGATGGGGTCGTTGTACTTCACAAAGAAGACCTTCATCTCGTGCTTTAGGATCTCGGGCCTGGTAGTGGGGCAGGATGCCCAGAGAGCAAAAAGCCAGGCATAAGCCCTATGAGACAACGCCTCCATGATTGCTGGGGCATTTTGGGGTGTCTGAGGTGGAGCCTGATAGGTAGTCATTGCCACGGCTGCACCCGGCAATGACTCCTGGCCTGAGGGCCCGTTGACCAGCCTGAGCCAGGTTCAGCCTGGCTACTGTACATCGGCTCACACTGCAGGAAGGGAAGAGGGAATAAAGCAAGAGACAGTCATAGCCAAGAGGCCGGCAGTTCCCTGTGACAGTTTTGGGAATCCAACAGATTCAAAGCCCATCTCAGCTTGTGAATTCAGGCCTGTTTCTTCTCCCATTAAGTGGGAATGACGCTGTGCAGGAAAGCCTCTGGCAAAGTGCATGGCAGGCCAGAGTCCACTAGTCTTAGAGAGGCCTGCCTGGTGCGTGGGAGCTCGGATTTTCAGAGAGTTCTCACTGTTGCCTAAATGATAAAGGTGGGTCGTCATGCCTGGATTATTGGTATAAGCAAATATGCCCTGCCTCTCTTCTGGAATTTTGATAGGTATCCCCAACAGAAACCTTAGATGCCAAGTCTCAAACAGGCTTCCCTGGGCGGAAGCAAGCCCTACACACACGTTGTTGCATTTTGTCACTGTGGGACAAGTGGGCTCTGTGTACTCTCCCATGGGAGGGACAGAACATAAAGAAGCTTCTCATGGAGTCCTCTGGACTCTGCCTGCACCTTTCTCCCTTATGAGCCAGCTGGATATCCTCAGAAACTTGGCCATGAGGGGTCAGCTCCATGGTACACTGGTCAAGTGCTACTCAAGAGAAACTGGATACATGGTGACCATGGTTCAAATCTCTGGCCCAGATGGCCTGAAACAGGCAGGGCACATGCATGAGAGCCCAAGATCTGGGCTAGAGGGCTGGAGGATGGGGCTCATCAAGTGACCAGACCTAGTGGAGGATACCCCTCTCTGTTCCTCTCCTCCCTCACACGTGTGCACACATGCTCTATTATAAATAAAGAAAAAAAATCTTTGCCCTGTGTACAATGACATGCTGAGTCCTGTGAGTCTTAGTAGTTAGCTCCAAACATGGGGGCGGTCTTAGGGACTCTGAAACAGACATCTGTGTACTAGGCCTGCTGTGAGCTCGATGCAAAGCACTCCACATGATCGATGCCTGCCTCAGAGAAGCCACGAGCGAGGCGGGGGCTGTCACCAGCCAGGCACTCCTGCACATGTCATTGCCCTACGGCAAGGGCAGCATTCTCCCTTCCACTGGCACCACCCACTCATTTTCCTTAGATAGAGAAAGCTCAGAGAGGGTGAGAGGCTCATAGTAGGTCACACTAATGCCAATAAGGGTGAGAGGAAGATGACAGTCACCACCCCAACTCCTACTCCCATGCCCTTTTCAGAACACAAAGGAAAAAGGAGAAGGGTTGGGACAGACAGGAAGGAAGAGAGAACACATGCAGAGAAAAAGGAGGAAGCCGAGGGGTTCAGTGCTGCATAACTGTGGGAGGCCCAGCGGAGCAAGGAGCCTGCTGTGCCCCGTGGGAGAGGCAAGACCTCAAGGTGGGTAGCGAGAAGATGATTTCTGCAACCAGAACTTGGCAAAAGTTACCCAGGCCTGAGCCAGGTCGTGTCTAAGCAACATGGACAACTTCTTAAAAGATTTACCATGTTAAATATAGCGCACGGAGCCCTCTATGCTGACCTGGATCTACAGGGCCCTGTACTGTATTAACTCCTGTGACAGGGCACGGGTGTGTAAGGACCCACACTGCAGCAGTGAAGCCCTCGTATCACTAATCCCCTTTTCTTTGAGAGATTTTTGCCAGAGGGCAAGTACGGTTGGTGGAGAGACAGAGAGACAAAGAGACAGAAAGCAAGAAATTGCCCTCTGGGCGGATGGCCACACTGTAACCCCCTCTCCACTCTCCTCTCAGGATTTTGGGCAGGCACACACGTGGGCTGGCGACACCCCTTTCTTAATCATGCAGGAAGCTTTCCCACATTTACAGCCCAAACTTTCACAAGTGGTCCCATCTGATGGGTCTGTGGGGCCCCAGGACAGGACTGAAAACCAGACTGACGCTACAAGGAGGGCATGTGATCTTCCCAGAGAGACTGCCTAGAGGCCTCACTCTGGTATACCAGCTCCCAGTAACAGGAGCTGTTGTAGCATATGGGTGCTCGATAGCTAAAAAGGCTGGGAGGAGAATTCAGGGGGCCAATCCCACTCCCCAGAACCTCAGGACCCCCTCACTCAGAGCCGTCTCATAGGAAGGAGGGGGATCGCTCAGAGAATCCCTGGAACCCAGGGTTGCTCAATTGTTTTTCAGCCTCATCCACCCCAGGAACTAGACCCTTGTCTGGGAGCAGTGGCTTTCAGCTGCAGTCATTCTCATGTGGTAAAGGGGGGACTTGGGTGGCATGGCACTGAGTGACCTTGAAATACCCCTCCCCAGACTCAAGCATGACAAAGGGTCCAATGATTTCTCACCATCCTGAAGTCTTCCAATCACGGGGAATTTACCTAGAGCTATGCCTCTATTCCCGGGAAAGATGTGCATGTGTGTGTATACGCGCAATCTCGTATCGCATTTCAGGAGGGCTCGTGGACTTGGAGGCCATCCAACATCTGGGTTACAGGGCCCCCTGCTGCAGGGTGCTGAGCAGCATCTCTGGCCTCTACTCACTAGATGCCTGGAGCATCCTCCCAGCTGGGACAACCAAAACTGTCTCCAGACAGTGCCAAATGACCCCTGGGGGCAAAGTTGCCCCTGGCTGAGAAAGTTTAGGTTAATCTCTGAGAGTCCCTGCACAGTGACAAGTCAGTTTCCCGGAGAGCCCTGCTCCCAGGAGAAGAGACTCCTCCAGGGGTGTGCACTGACGGGTGTGTGGCGATCTCGGTACCTTTTCTGCACGATGAGGTTGATGTTGCGCAGGGCCACGTACTGCAGCTCCGGCTCAGCTGACAGCAGCGTGACGAGGGGTGGGGCCAGCTTCTTGAGCAGTGTGCCGTAGTAGTCCAGGTCCTTGGACAGCATCTCCATGAACTTCATCAGCACCTTCACGGCAGACAGCACCACAGCAGAGTTGGCATGGGAGAGCCTAGGGGTGACCCGCTCACAGATGCTGGGGTCCGTTCCAACAGGGCCAACAGGACAGACAGACAAGGGGGAAACATTCTATTTTTAGTTATCAAAATAGCACGTCTTCTGTAGGAGGAAGATCTGGATCCTGGTTCTGCTGCTTGCTTCCTGACCCCAAGCAGGTTCAAACCACACAGAGCCCTGGTTTCCTCATCTATAAAGTCAGGTGATGCTGCCTGCGTCTGAGGGTTGCTGGGGGCTTGACGGAGACGAAGAACGAGTTCAGTGCCTGGCACACAGAAGACACTGTAAAAGTCCCCCCTTCCTTCCCACTATTGCCAAGGCTTTCTAAAGGAGCAGGATATCACTGTATTCTGCTGGTTGAGGCCAGGAGTCCAGAAGAGCCCCGCCTGGTGATCTGTACAACCCCTTCCCCTCTAGGCTGGAGTTTCCTCATCTGTAAAATGGGGGATAACAGGGCCTCCTTAACAGAGTTGCTCTCAAGAATATATATTGGGCCAGCTGGTGGCATGGTGGTGAAGGCAGCTGGATCCTACATGGCTGACTGCACAGTTCCAGTCCCAGGCCCGGCAGCTGGAAAACAAGCTGGGCATGCATGTGTGCATGCCCAAAATTCCAAGAGGAGAATGGAGAAGCGACTGCAGTGTAGCCAACACCCCAAGGGGTGATTTCTCACTTTTCTTCCTTCTCTGTCTCTCTCTAGTGAGCGACCATGCCCTATAGCAAAAAACAAAAACAGAAACAAAACAAGAGTATCCACTGTGTGGAAGCACCTGGAAGCCCCAGGCACTCAGTGAGGACCCAATGGACAGTGGCTCTGATGCTATCTACCCATTTCCTGGACTCGGTCTGAGGTGACGGGGTCTCTGGTCAGTTCCCAGGCCAGGGACTGTCTGTGCCCATACCGAGCCAGGAGCTGACTGCCTGAAGCAACTCGGCTGGACGTCTGGCTCTGCAGCAATGGGAAACAAACACGCCTTCCTAAGGTATGTCTGAGGCTGGCCTGTGTGGCAGGGCCCAAGAAGGGGTCCACGAAGCCCAAGACCCAGCTCATGACTCAGTTCACGACTTGAGCCCCAGGAGACTCAGGTCTGGCGGGACGAACCGGTAGTGGGCAGCCTGCTCACCTCTGGGCCTCTCGGTCATCCTTGGGGGTGTAGTTGGCCAGGCAGTCTAGGATGAAGATCTGGCCCCACTCAGTGCACTCGTTCAGAGCTGTCAGCAGCTTGTTAATGGACTGCGGGTTCAAGTCAAGCAGGTTGCTGCTGGGATGAGACTCCGCGATCTCCGAGAGGGCAGCCACTGCATTTGCCACGACCTGGTTGAGAAGAGAGAAAGGGCAGGGGCTGGGGGTGCTGCTCACAGGGCAGGGAGCAGTGAGGCTAATGATGCTGGCTGCTCAGAGGGCAAACAACCTGAAAGGAACATGACCAAGTGGGCAGTGTCTAGAACCTTGAAACCCACTCCAAGCGCTCACCCTGCTGACTCCTCTGTGGCCTGAAACTAAAAGAAGTGTTCCTGCTATTTAAAAAAACAAGACAGACCTAGAGCCAAGTGCCTGGCAAGAGAATGCATTCCCAGCGACCCGACGACAGCCCCTGCCTACCAGCTACAACGGCTCACTTCAGAGTTGTCAACTGTGCTTCTCAAGCTGGGAGTTTCCTGCAGAGCCCCTGAGCCTACTGAGAGTGGGCGCAGGCTGGAGAGAGGAGCTTGCCCGGGGCCCTCTACCCACTTCCTCTAGAGCTGTTGCTTTTGTGAGTGTGCCACACTGCATACAACTCTTCCCGTGACAAACCGTGCTCCACGCCAGTCCCTGTGTGGCCACTCAGGGTCTGTGTGTCATCAGTGTTTCTCTAGGATACAGCGTGGGGCTGGCTGTGCCCAGGAGTTTGGACATTTCATTTTAAACAGGCTGTCAAACCACTCTTCAAACAGCTGCCATGACCATGGGTAAGGAGACTGGAGTTCCCCACCCAACCACGTCCCGGTGTCCTGTCTTCAGGGCTTTTAGGTACTTTTAAGAGTGATCCCTGTAACTGTAAAGACGTAAGGAAAAGGGAAAGCACTTCACACTCAGGGCTTACAGATGGTGTTGGTGAGAAGACAGCGACAATGACAGTGACTGGAAGGGGAAAGAGGGCACTAGCGTTGACTGCACACCCACTGTGTGCCAGGCCATGCCAGGCACATTACCTTCGCAGCACTGCCAGCCACGCAGAATTAGATCCATCTTACTGATGAAGAAAAGAGAGCTCTGGAAGGTTAGGCAGCTTGGCCAAGGTCGCGCAGCTAGTTAGAGAGGGCGTAGAGAGGGAATCCAGGTCTAGCTCACTCCAAAGACAGTGCCTGGACCACCGCAAGGCACAAGAACAATTAGATCACCCAGCAATTCTCCAACTTCCAGAAACCAGGGACGGCCAGGCAAAGGTCTTCCCAAGCAACCCAGGAGGTGGTAGAGGTGGCATGGTGGGTGGCAGTGGCTTACCATGGGGTTAGAGTCGGAGATGAGGTCTTTAAGGGTGTCCAGGAAGCCCTGGTCCTCTACCAGCTGGGCATTGATGTCATGAAGCTTGGCCACGCACACAGCTGCTGTCTTGCGCACATATGGATCTTCATCCTTGAGGCACTTCCGGAGTGGCTCGCACAGGTACTCCGTGATCTTGTCCACTCGGATGCAGCCCATGGTCCGCACGGCCAGGGCCCGGATGAGGGGGTTGGGATCCTCACAGTCCTGAGGGGAACCAGCCATTGGCCGGGGCAGGGGCGGGGTGAGCCACGTGTGGCTTCAGTCTCCCTGGCCTCTAGTCTGAGCTCTGCTGGGCTGAGCAACATCGCACAACTGCTGTGGCATCTCATCAACTGCAGCCAAGAACACCCCACAAACCCCACTACCAGGGACTAGCGTGTGCCAGCTTCTGGACCGCGGCTTTGCATACTGTCCCCTCCGATCTGCACAGCAGACATACAATACTGGCCTCATTTCAGTGAGGAAGTGAAGGCTCTTTGGAAGGGTGGGAGCTCACCCACAGTCACAGAACCGTGATTCAAATCTCTGTCCTCCTAGCACCACAACCCTCACTGGGTCACAGAAACCCTCATTTTCTCAGCTGAGCATAAACCAGGCGAGGGGGAGCTAGTGTTCTAAAGGGGCACAGAGCTGACAGTTCAAGTCTTCTCTTGCTCCTCAAACTGGTGGATAGAAAATCTAGAAAGGAACATACATGTGCTTAAGATACATGCTGAGGGACCAGCAGTTGGTGTAATGGCTATGTCGCTGGACTCCCATGTAGTTGACCGTAGTTCAAGTCCCAGACCCAATGGCTTAAACTCACACTGGGCACGTGTGTGTATGTGCCCAAGACCCCACAAGGAGAATGGAGGAGAAGGAATTGCATCGTGCCCAGCCCCCTGGGGGGTGTGATTTCTCGCTTTCTGTCTCCCTGTCTCTCTTTGTCTTTCTGGCAAGCACACATGCCCTATAGCAAAAACCTCTCAAAAAAAAAAAAAAAAGAAGATACATGCTGAATCCTGCCCTGGCAAAGGATGCAGGGCAGCGTGCCCCACTCCGCGGGCATGAGGGGCAACAGTCTTGTATGACCTCATGGGGCCTGGGGCAGGCAGGCTCTTTAGCATCTGCTCCTCTGGAGAGAGTGGGAGCCTCTGCTGGAGGAAGAGGCCCTCAGGCTGGGCAGACAGAGGTGTCTGAGGGTCTGGCAGGAGCGTGAGTGTTTCCACCCAGGGCCACGGGCCCCTAACCCAGAAAGGCTGGGAGAGGGGACAGTGAGCAGCTCTCCATACCCTACTCCCACCCGGTACCTACCCACCTTCACAAAGGTGTTGACAGCCATGATGGCCATGTCAGGCTGGCTCTTGGCATAGTTCATCAAGTATAGGTACACCAGCTTCTTCAGCTCCAGGTTGTCCGTCTGCATACAGTTCACCACATCGGGGAAGAGGGCACTGAAAGGTCAAAATGAGTCAGGACGGGTAAGGCTGAAGAAGGAAGAGAGATTTTCAGGTAGCCGAAGTGGGTGAGGGCAGTGGGTAGGAGGGAACAAGGATGATAAAGAGGACTTCCCGGTAAAAGGAAGGGTATCAGCCATGCAGTTACCATGAATACCTGTTGGAATGGAACCACAAAGGGTCATTTTAAAAGCAAAAATGTCTTTGTTCTTTTTACACAGTTCAAACATGAGCTCTGGGGCCGACTGGATCTCTGGGTCCAACTGGAGCTCAAACCCAACTCTGCCTCTTGTGGGCTACATGATGATAGGGAAATTCCTTCATCCTCCAAATCCCAGTTTCCTCATTTGCAAGAAAGGTGTAATAAAAACTGACTTCACAAGGGCCCCTGTGACAATTAAATGTGACAACACTTAAGGTATCTGGTCTTCGACATCCAGGAGGTGCTGAATCAGTGAAATGATTCTTTTTCCCTCCCTGCTACTTAACAAGGCTGCTTGTATTGGGGTCGCTGGTTCCAGGGATCTCAGGGAAGCGGGATGGGCCCTGCTGCCTTCACAAGGCTGGCATGGCATGCACAGAGCACACATTGCATTGCAGGCCTGGCTCCACATACCAATCTCATTTAACAGCCCCGGGAAGCCCAAAGACAATACAGCAGCTCAGAGACGTCATCCTGCCTGAGAACCCAGGCCTGACCCCAGTCTGTGCTGTGACCACTCTGACACTGGGTATCCTTCCCAGCATGGTCCTAGCATGACACCTGCGACGACGTCAGCATTGGGTGCCAACCTGCCTGGACTAAGGAATAGCTGGAAACAGGACAAAGCGTTATTCTGGGTGTGTCTGTGAGGTGTTTCCAGGAGAGATGAACATGTGAGTGTGAGCAGACCAGGCAGGGAAGATCCGCCCTCAGTGTGGGTGGGCACCATCCAACCACCAAGGAGCCCTGAGGGAGCAAATACGGAAGATGATGGGTCTCTTTTGAGAGAGGACAGACATCTGCTACCCTGGACATCAGAACTCAAGGCTTGCCTGCCTTTGAACTCTGGAATTCACATTGGTGGTTGGGTTCTCAGGCTTTTTGACTTTGGACTGTGAGTAACACTATCGGTTTCCCTGCCTCTGAGGCCTCTGGACTGAGCCACCCTATCAGCATCCCAGAATCCCCAGCCTGCAGAGGGCCTGCTGTGGGACTTCTCAGCTGCCATAACTGTATGAGCTCATCCCCCAGTACATCCCCTCTTACATAACTATACATAGCCTATTGGCTCTGTCTCCCTCAAGAACTCTGACAAATGCAATGCCCAAAGGTCTTAGTCACAGGCTGCCTTGAGATGTGAAATATGGTTATAGGTAAATTTTCTATCTCTGGAACTACCACCTCCCCTCTCAATTCTCATGCTTTTCTGGGCAAAGACATGGCACCACACAGACTGAAGAGGTCCATGGGAACTTCCTGAGCCCTAAGAGGCAAGAGTCCTGAGATGGACGCATCACCTTGAAGGTAACATACCAGGAGAACGGTAGGGGAGGGGAAGAACTGCTGATAAGCCTGACTTGCTCTTTTGAGCCTGTCTCATCAGCCAAGCAAGCTCTTTTGAGACGGAAGAACAAAGACATTTCCTCTGGGGGGTGGTGACAGCAGTGTCCGGTGGAAGGAGAGCAGCATTGTCCTGGAAGGAACTGGACTTGGAGGGAGGCCCAGTTTTCCAGCAGAGACCTAATCCCTGTGCTTTCCAGCAGAGACCTAATCCCTTTGCCATCCTGTCTTTAGCAGGTCTCTCTGCATAATGGATTCTCCTAAGATGATGTCAGGAGGTTCTTGCTGAGGGTGGTGATGGGATGGGGCAATCCGTGGGCAAGTCTGGAGGGTGTGAGCCTAAGGTGGGACCACATCAGCACCCAGGTCTGCCAGGAGGGGATGGGATGGATGAAAGAACCTTGGATTTGGATTTCAGAAAGGATGGGCTCAGGTCCTCATTCTGCCATTAACTGTAGGACGGTTAGGAGGTCATTTTATGCCTTTATCTTTTTTTTGTGGGGGGGGAGAGGCAGTGAAATAAGCATGACCTACAATATGAGAATTGTAAGGCACTGCTAGAAAAACATATCTCAAAGTGTTCTGCAGACCCTCAGATGCTGTGTGAACATTAAGTTGCCATAAAATTCAGCCCTTGCCTTTTAACAATCTAGTGGGCAGATAAACACAAGTATGAGGGGACTTTGAAAAGTTTGTGGAAAATGGAATAAAGTATAAGATTATGTCCTGAATTTTTTTGTTTTGAAATATGGTCTATGTCACAGTCCTCCTGCATCACTGGGTTATAGGTACATGCCACCATGCCTGGTCCTTTTTCAGATAGGATCTCCCTATGCTGACTAGGCCAGTGCTGAACTCGCCACTCTCCTATCTCAGCCTCCTGTATCACTGGGATGGCAGGAGCACACTACTGTGGCTGGCCTTCAGTTTGGACCGGGAATCAAAGCCAGGCTGTGGTTTGGTCTGTGTGGTCCTAGTGTCTTAGTTGTGCATACCACCATCGCTGTTCCTTGAATGGGTTTTAAAAGACAGGAAAACCAGCTGGGGCCTTTCTGGGAAGGGAAAAGCATAAGCAAAGGTGTAGCGGTCACTCTACACATGATCTGTTCAGCCATCGCATGCAAGCCAGAGGTAGGAAGCTAGGACAAACTGGAGAAAGCCAATCTGCATGTGTATTGTATTTGGACCACACAGTATGTGTGTCTGTTAATATGACCTGGCAACTTAAAACGGGGAGATTTAAAATGAATGAAATCTAAATCTCTCATCCTTTATAAAAAAAAATAGAAGACATGGCCACATGGGGTTTGTCTCCCCCAGTGGGCAGCAGTCCTCTGGAGTTCTGAGGGGGTGCCACACCCACTGCATCACCCGTTGCCTTTCAGACCTGGTCCATTTCACCTGCTCCACCACTTGCCCCAGCAGTATCTGAGCTTGGGACTCCTATGTAAACAAAGCCTTCTGTTTGGAGAGGAGGTCCCTGAACAGTTGTGTAAGGGGAGACATGGGTCCCTAGACATCCTGAAGAACAGATCTCATCGGGTCCCAAGCTATAGGCCCTGCCCTGTCAGCTAGCTTCTGGAGGCCACCAGGTCTGCTCCTGCACACCTGACATCTTTGCCCACGGTCATCGATGCAATCACTTTCTTCACCGCCTCTTTCTTCTTCTCCTTCTTGTCACTGTTGAGCTCGGCTTTCAGTTCAAATATCTCCCCTAAGAAAAGGAGGCAGACGGGGACCAGCAGTTAGCGTAATGGCTATGTCACTGGACTCCCACATAGTCAACCACGGTTCGTGTCCCAGACCCGGTGGCTTAAACTCATGGCAGGCACGTGTGCGTGCATGCCCAAGATCCCGAGAGGAGAATGGAGGAGAAGGGATTGCAGCGTGGCCATCCCCCTGGGGGGTGATTTCACGCTTTCTATCTCTCTGTCTCTGTCTGTCTGGCTGGCAAGCACACGTGCCCTATAGCAAAAACCTCTCCAAAAAAAAAAAAACAGAAAAGAAAAGGAGGCAGGCATGAGAAATCCATTCCCACCTCACTGAGGGACAATTCTCTGTCCCAACTTCCAAAACAACTGGGGGAAGGGAAGTAAGACACCCTGAGCTACTAGCTGAGGTCCCTGGCCTAGCTGGATCAGACAACAGTGAGGGACCACTGTTAGGAGAGGAATGATCAGGATGGAAGCTGGGGGGTCATGCTGGATTGAAAGAGGGAGGAACTTTGGAAGCTGTGATGATCCTGAGGAAGACAAAAAGTGTGAAGGCACAGACTGCTAAAAACACAGTAGAGGGGCCAGTAGGTGACAAGGTGATTAAAGTGCTGGACTCCCACATGATTGACAGCAGTTTGAGTCCTGGATCTGGCGGCTTGCTTTCTCACTCCCTCCATCCCCCATCTCTCTCTAGTGAGTGCACGTGCCCTATGGCAAATTAAACAATAGTAAGAAAGAAAATTAAATAATAAAAACACAGAAGAAAAGACAGCCCTCCTCAGCTAAAAAAACCCCTCCAAAAAAAAAAAAACAGAAAAGAAAAGGAGGCAGGCATGAGAAATCCATTCCCACCTCACTGAGGGACAATTCTCTGTCCCAACTTCCAAAACAACTGGGGGAAGGGAAGTAAGACACCCTGAGCTACTAGCTGAGGTCCCTGGCCTAGCTGGATCAGACAACAGTGAGGGACCACTGTTAGGAGAGGAATGATCAGGATGGAAGCTGGGGGGTCATGCTGGATTGAAAGAGGGAGGAACTTTGGAAGCTGTGATGATCCTGAGGAAGACAAAAAGTGTGAAGGCACAGACTGCTAAAAACACAGTAGAGGGGCCAGTAGGTGACAAGGTGATTAAAGTGCTGGACTCCCACATGATTGACAGCAGTTTGAGTCCTGGATCTGGCGGCTTGCTTTCTCACTCCCTCCATCCCCCATCTCTCTCTAGTGAGTGCACGTGCCCTATGGCAAATTAAACAATAGTAAGAAAGAAAATTAAATAATAAAAACACAGAAGAAAAGACAGCCCTCCTCAGCTACATGCACTCCAACAAAGGTCCTTACAGCTGAGTGGGATATAATCTGGACACCCCAGGTTTGCAGGGAGAGCACAGGGTTTGACCAATCCGCACACGCAAGCTTTTCCTGTTTTCCTAGATCCTCTACTTAAAACAGCCTGTTCGGAGTTTCACTTCCTGAGCCACAAGAGGTTGCTTGGCTCTGAAAATGAGAATTCAGCTGTCCCATGAATAAACTGTTCTCAAGAACTTGATGACCTAGAAAAAAACAGGGCTGTTCAGGGCCCTGCCATGGAGAGATAGTGAAGACTGAGATAAGAGGTTAGGAGGGCAGACTGGTTTCCCTCAGCCTTTCTCTAAGCCTGACGCCACACAGACTTTTCCCACACTGTCTTCCTGCGCCCCTACAACTACACTGCAGTCCCCATTTTACGGATGAGCAAATGCAGGCTGTGGTAACTTACCCGCAGCTGGCAGGTGGCAGGGCTGAGGTTCAAAACCAAGTCTGCCAGTTTCAATGCGTATGCTCTAAATCCCTAGGCCGGGGCCTACCCAGGACACCCACTCTGCTTTTCTGAGCCCGTTTCCTTGTCTGTTCTCTGTCTCTCTTGACTGAGGTGCTGGATTCCCTCATTTACCACTCAGACATGACTCGTTCACCTCAGTGCCAGGCACTCGGGGGCTGCACTGAGGGTGGCTGCTACTGCTCACCTGCCATGTGACCCTTTGCCTTTGGATACCTTTCACACAGAACAGTCCTGGCCTTCGTCTGTTATTAGGCGACGGGCTGTGAAGCAGGGACTACCCTGAAGGGGAAAGTGCTAAGTTCTTGGGAGATTTACAGAGAGAAAAAGGAAAACCTTTTTAAAAAAAATCATGACTGGATAAATGTGCTCAGCAAAGATCTTGGGATGAGAGGCAGCAAACATGGTTAACTAAGAACAACCACGCCACACAGCCTGGGGCAAGGCCACTCTGCTTGCTCTACCAAGCCAGGAAGAACCTCACAGTTCACGTTTACTTAAGGAGCACACGTCCTTCTCCTGTAAGAATGAGGGGCCGCCTGCTTGCTCTGCGATCCAACAGACCATGACAACTGTGGCTCTGGATGCCTGGGCCGAGCTGCCCTGCCTTGCTTTAAATGTTTGCCCATACGGTACAACTGACGGCCAGGGGACGCGTCTATGTCTGTCACCTCAGCCCCAAGAAGGCTGGTGGGTCCTGACTGCTTCTTGAATGCTTGCTTTCTCGAAGGGTCTCCAGTCGGTCACCAAACCTCCCTCCTCAGTCACATATCAGGCGCCCCCCACCCAGGCTCAGGCATCACCCTTTCACTAGAGCTATGGTACTGGTCTCCCTGCCTCCGAAATCCCAAGAGGATTAAGAAAAGGGGAAGGGGTTGTGGCAAGACCACGTCCCTTCATGGGGGTGGGGGTGTTTTCTCCTTCTCTCTGTCGAACACATGTTGCCCCTCTGGTAATCGGGGAAAAAAAAGAAAAAGCAAAAAGATAAAAGGAATCTGCCTAGGCCTTCCCTCATTGAAAACCATTACTGATACCAGATTCAAGATTTAAACCCAAACATCTCTCCCATACATTCTTCCCAAAAGAAAGCCCACAAACACTCCACCACCAATACCCCAGTACACTCAGCACTGAGTTCACATCTGCTGGCCTGGCTCACCTGACTGATCCCTATTCACCTCCCCAACACTCTTCTGGCATCACTGAGCTCCTCAGTAACTCCTGCCCGACTGCCCACCCTCTCCCTCTCTTCCCTTCCCTCCCCTCCCCAGTGGGTCTCTCCCCTCATCTCCTCCACTCATCTGGTAGCTCCACCCAGAGTTCCCCAACATCCCCCTTCAGAGTGGTCCCTAGTTATTAACTATTTCCCAGCTCAGCCTCCAGCAAAGCCGGGTCAGAGGCTCTGCCTGCCTCTTCCACTGCACATGGCAGGTGCTCAGTGAAAACTGGCCGGACCAATAAAAGAAATGCCTGAGGAGGGGCAGGCTGCAGGCCCTGGCCAGCTGATCCCACACAGACTCTTTGCATCTGGTCAGCAGGCATGTGTCACTCTCACTTGGATCCGGGAAGGCGGGAGAAAGGAAGGGCTGTCCAGAAAGATGCTTACAGGGTTGGAGCTTATTTGTCAGACACAACAATATCCTCCACTTCCTTAAAAGCAGGAACAACTAAAATACCCAATGACATCCGCCTAGCTTAGCAAATTTCAGTGCAGCAACTGCACAGACCCCACACTGAGTCATTAGAACTGTCGGGAAATGTTTGTGATAATGCTGCATGAACAACAGGATGAGAACTCTGACTGCAACCAAGAAAACACATGACCACACACAAACACATATACAACACTGTGAGGTTGCTGACAGATTGTGCGTTTTCTCTTAGGGA